GAAGAACCTTGTAAAGAATCCATCCTTAACCATTCTAAGGTAAGATTTGAGCCCTAATTCTTATGGAAATTCTTCCTACCCTCTAAGATTAAAGAAAAGATAGAATTAGGCCAAGTTTGGCAAGTTGAAAAAAAGCCAAAAAGCCAAAAAGTTACTCAAAAAGTTAAAAAGTTATTACTATTCACCAAAAGTAAAAAATTACGGCTGCACAACTCTTAATCCTAATTTTTCCCTATACACTAATTTATATAATTTTTTAATACACATTTTTCCATAAAAAATTAAAAAGTTAACCCAAACATCCATATTTTTTTCCTCAATTTTTTAGTCCAAAAAGACAAAAAGTGCACTTATTTAGGACATCCCACACAATCCCTTAATTTGGGTTATTATTGGAGATATGTTGGAGATATGAAGAAAAGGAATGGAAAGATAAAAATAGGTTGAAGAAAAAGCTAGGTAGCTTCGATTGACACCATTATGATCTTGTTTTTGATGTTCTTGTTTTAATAGAAGCTTTATCCTCTTGTTCATATGATTTTCAAGAGTTTGGCAAGTTTAATTCCATGTTTTCAAAGGATAAAAAGGAAGGTTTTGAATTGAAAGAAGAGTTCATGAAGTTCTTGACAAAACATATGTTTTAATCTTTATACCTTGAAATAAAACATGTTTTGATGATGTTGCCTTGAAAATGATGATATTTTCATGAAAATTTCAAGAGTTTTATAAGCCTAAAATCATGTTTTGGAACCTTGAAAAAAAAGGGGAAAAATTAAGAAAAGAGTGAGATTTTCGAACCAAAACAAGTGTTCTCGAACAACCACTTCTGCATGTGCGGCAAGACTTTTCAGAAACCAATTTTTGGGACTGCACAAAACCGCACGTGGCCCCAATCCCTGCACTTGCGTCACCCCTATTTCAGCTCAACTTCAAATGGGCATATCTCTCTCATCTGAACTCAGTTTTAAGCAATTCTTAAGTCTAAATTCAAGCCTTGGAAGTTTAGTTTCCAATGGTGGTGGTCTCACATCTAAATTCTAAGTATACAAATAGATGTGTTTAAATTAGTGAAGGCTGCTCACTTTTTTCCTAACCCTTTCATGCTAATTCCTTTCGTAACTTAGTTCCCTTTCATTTCTTCCTATTTCGTTAAACCTTAAACATCTAAACATGACATTTTTCAATGCAAAGCATATGAAATTGTTGTGGAACACTTGGGGCCCTTCAACATACGTCTTTGGCTCATTTCAATATTCATCAAACCTTGATCACCTAGGATGCTATTAGGCATGCATTTGAGCCATGTTTATTAGGCTTAGAAAAGTCTTGGATAATCTAAGAAAAGATTAAGAAACACTAAGCTAAGTTATAACACTTGAAATGAATTTAGGGGCCTGTTAGTTTAAGTGTTTTCAATGTCTGTTCATGTTCTATGTAGGTCAAGCATTTGGAGGAAGAAAACACCCTTGGTTCAAGAACCATTTGTGAGTAATAGTGTAGTAAAGTTATATTTGATAAACTATGTTTCAAATACAAACTTATGCTATGTTTATGAAAGCTAAGCTATTGTTTTGACATAAATGAACATCCTATAATCTTGTATCGTATATTAAGATGACATTTTGGATCTTGTCTTGTTAATGGGAAATCATGACAATAACCTCTTACTAACTGAGCTTCTCTTGCCACCTATTGTGGACCTTGATGTTCTCTAAAACCTTGGAATGTTCATCGCTATGTATATGCTTGCAAGTTAAGCTTTGTTCTACCTTGATCAAATTATGTTATGTTTGAACTATGATCTTATGTTTGATTTTATTAAAAATCATTGGTGTTCATTCATTTACTATTTTACCATATTACTATTCACTAGGCAATTACTCACCCCTCTCCCTTATATGTATCTATATATATATACGTAGGTGATGAAGAGCTCAATTACGAAGAAGAAGTTTGAGTAGAAGTCAGTCTTGTATGTCTGTAAGGGTTTTGTAAAGTTTTGTCATATGCATTGTATTTTACTTTTTGTTGTAATAGATCATGTAGTAATGCAAGATAATAATCAAAGAGGAATGGATGCTTTTATTTCATATAGCTATGCACTGCTTTGAATGGATGTTTTAAATGAACATAGTATAATAAATTAATGGCTTCCGCACTCAAACCAGCCTACTCCATTCTACAATATGATATTGCAACATGAAAAATGCTAATGCCCATCTTAGGGATGGTCGTTAATCTTAGTATATGTGCAAAAAATATGCAGAAAGTACATAAAAATATGTAAAAATGTTTGAGAATATGTGAAAAGTACATGGGAGGAGGTCTTTCCCATCTTGTATCGCCCTCGGCTTTGCTCAAAGTCGGAAGCTCATCTCAACAACTATTTTGATATTGTCCTCACCTTAATGATAGCCCTGTGGGTAGTAGTTGAGCATAAACCAATTTCCTGTATTACACTCTTCTACTTCCCCCACTATACACTGCATATAATAAGGGTACAGTGTGGGCTATGTTCTTGACACCCACGCCTAATTTGGACACTTCTTATTTTATATAATGTTGGGTGGGTTGTACGGCTTTTGGGGAAACGTTGTTTGAGATAGAAGATGCACATATTTGCTAGTAAATAAATATTTCCAGTCTCTCATACGAACGAGAGATTTATTTCATATTTTTCCTAAATCCCATTTAATTTGAAGTACATTTTTAAACAATTTACAATATTTTATCTCAAAATATTATACAATATGCAATCTATACAAGTGTTTGAAACTTGTCCTCATACCCATACCTAACTTTTTATGCATATCCTAATATTCTAAGATTTAAGCTTAGAATGGACGTCTGGACAACAACCCACAACTGATACAAGTACCGGAGTCAATGTAACATAAATTGTATCCACTATTCGCTCTTTCTTTATTCCCTAAGGCTATGTCTGGATATTGATTCAATTAGTGTTTTAAAAGGCGTGTGCTAAGCGCGAGGCGCAATGAGGTGCAGCCTTGCGCTTTGAATAGGTCGAGGTCGAGGCGAGGGGCAATATGCAAAGCGTAGCTTGGGCGAGGGCTTTTTTTTGAGGCGCAATGCGTGGGCTTTTTTTTGAGGCGCAAGGCGTGGGCTTCGTAGGTTTCATCTATTTTTCTACTTCAATTGTTGATTAAGTACTTTTTTTGTGGGCATACTCATAGGGATTCAAAACTCTTCAATATAAAATGACCAAATGTGGTCAAAAGATAGCAAAAAGTGATAAAATATTGAATGTTATACTTTATATCTTTTGTTGGATATTATATTTCTAATTTTTAGAAGATTGAATGTTATGTTTAGAGATTATCGAAAATAGTTATGATTTTTTAAATTATATATATATATATTTGTTACGTTAAAAATTTTGCCTATTTTATAATTTTGCTTTTCTTCTACTACTTGAGTTTCGCTTTGGTGAGGCGCACGCTTTGCTTCACGCCTCGCGCTTAGGCTATAGGAGATCTTATCGCCTCGGTGTGGCTAGAGCCTTCTAAAACACTGGATTCAATGAGGAATTCAATGAGAAAAAATAAAAAAGAAAAAGAAAATATAATTACTCATACATATTTTTTATTAGATTAAGAGATTTGGTGGCCAAACATCATTGAGGTGTTGGCAAACCTCTCGCCCTTGATACACAAGAAGATTGCATTGCCTTTGTTTCGGTTAGGTAGTTATAGAGAGGAATACTATCATGTGATCCCCGGGCCGAGTGGCATCACAATATTGATTGTTTGGTCTCCAAACAAATCAAGGATGCCTACAAATATAGCACTCCTTCCACAGCTTGATAACATAGTGAAATCGGTAAAAGTGGTAAGGTTGCTATACCAGATACTACCGTTCTCCTCTCTTGCTCTGCTTGCCTTACATCTCAACCAGCAATTAATTCTTCATCCTAACTTATTATTTGCAATTCTCACCTCTCCAATGGTACCTATTCAGTACTCTCCACGTGGAACCCTTTATAGCCACAAACTATATGTCAATAAACAATCACAATTATAACCACAAAATTCATGCCTCACGTATGCCATACTCTGCCGCATATTAAATATCTGTGACATTATGAATAGGATGATACCCCCATTGAATAATGATGAGGCTCATATATGATCCACAAAACTCTCTGTTTCTATCTTCAGATGGTAACTAGCCACTACATCACGAAGAATCCATATTCCAATGCTCAGAACTTGCAGAAGATTACATGCTCTCAAACTCCCAACCTACTTGCAGCTTAATGCAGATAGAAAAAGGCTCCTAACAATCCCATGAATAATACAGGAATGAACTTTTAAACATGATTTTGAGAAAGTGTACATGCAGTTTTCTAATTTTGACACTTTCAAGTGACAAACATTCTAAGGCTTAGTTTGGGAAGACTAAATAAGTGCACTTTTTGACTTTTTATGAAATATGGGTTGGATTTGAAGTGATGTGTTAGAGAGGTGATGTGACTTAAATAAGATGATGTGACTTAAATAAGATAGTAACTTTTTGACTTTTTGTCTTTTTTCAATCATGCCAAACTTGGCCTAAATTTGAGATCTCAGCACTCTCAATGCCACGTTTTCCGTATTTAGTTCAACAAGAAAACATTAATCCAAGACCCATTCAGGCAAGAAAACACTTCAAACACCAATATTCAGCTACCATTGCAAGTGAATTGTAGCACCATAAACAATCAACAAGATGTAGTGATAAAAACATTAAATTGTAACATCCATTCAAATCAAATTTTCTAAACTTCCACATCCACAATTAGGATAAGGCATCATTCTAAACCTCCATTTAGCAGCTGATCATAAATTTTGTCTTGGGCTCAGTTAAGTGAATGAAATTCAACATATTAAATTTCTATTGATATTCAGAGGTTTTTGTTTCCTCCTACATTTTCGCAGCAACCAAACACACCTTAACTGAAACCAAAACCCTAATAAAAGCAAAAAAATACGAAGTGGAACCTGTGGGAGAAGACCAAGCTGCGTGGACGACGCACCTCTCCTGCACATTGGAGCAGAAGCCAACAGTGATCTTGTTGAGATCGCCTCGAAGGACCGATCCATTCCAAACGGAGGCTCCATCGCAGACGGTGACCTGGCCGGCGAGCACGACGTTGGGGGCAACATAGGCATCGACGGCGATCTTGGGGAGCCACTGACCGAGGGGGATGATCTTCCTCTGTCCTCTGTAGTCCCATTTCACTCGATCTGGCGATTCTGTGATCTTCGCCGTCGCCGCTGGGGCTGCTTCGGTGGCGAGAGTGCGTCGGAGGAGGTGGTGGTGGTGAGAGGTGAAGGTTGCGGTTAGGGTTTTTCTGGACAATCGAGCCAGAGTCGCCATTTGTGTGAGGGAGTTTCAGGAACACGAGCTCCGTGAAATTGAAGAGAGAAGTGAGGTAGGAGAAGGCTGTGAGGGTATGTTTTGTTTCTGGGAAACACCTGTATGTGCACGCCTCCACCATATAATTAAAAACAGCAATGATAGAGAGTACGTATTTTTCAGGCTCGAATAGTTTGAATTGACCAAAATGACGTTGTTTTGGATATAAAACACATAAAATGACATCGTTTTGGTCAATTCGAGCCATTTGAGCCGCGAATATTGTGGCCACCAAATATTTTTCAATTAAAAATAAAATTTCTTAATTTAACATAACATGAAATATAATTAAAAAATTATACTGATATCTCTCGAAGAATAGAGATCATTCTCATGTTTGAAAATTTATATTTTTTATTTTAAAATTTGTAATTTTATTATAAATTATCTTTTAAATTATTGATGTCATGCCTTAAAGATTAAACAAAATATGAGATATAATAAAAAATTATAAATTATAATTAAAATAATATCATAATTAAATAAAAAATTGATCATAAATAAAGAAAAAAATTGACAGACTAAGAGTGTATATTAGAATTTCTCATTGTTTGGTGTGCTTAATTATGAGACAAACTCAAAGGTAACAATTTTTAGGAAATTCTGGCATGCTTAGTTTGTCTCAAAATATGTTTTTGGATAAAAATTTTCAAAAACATATTTAGTTGAAAAATTTAGAGAAAAGAATTTACATAATAATCAATTACTTTTTCTCTCTCATCTCTCATTCTCAATTATTTTTCTCCAACACCCATCTATTTAATTACGAAAAAATCAAATCATTTCAAACTCTAAAATTTCAAAACTATTTCCAAAATATACAATTAAACAAAATTTTAAATTTTAAATTTTCTAAACTTTTTTTAAAAACTTATTTTTAAAATAATATCTCAAAACACAAACCAAATAAGGCCCCTATTTCCACACTATACAAATTGGGTAGAGCTTATCTCCATTGGACAGCATTGTTGGATCCGTGAAACTTATCACGGGTCCATTTCATAATTTGAATAATTCAATGTATAGAGAACATCCAATATTTTATCTTGCAAAAAATGATTTTAATCGAATATCGATAATCTCTCGATCAAATCATATTTTTGTCAATGGTAAATATAATTTTAAAAATAAATTGTTAACAAAAATATAGTATGATCAAGTATCTATCGATATCCAATCAAAATACATATATATATATTTTTTGTAAGAATAAAATACTCAACAATGCTTTACACATTGAATTGTTTGAATCATAAAAATAGGACCCATGATGAGCTCCACAGGTCCAACTGTGGAGTGAAAAGAAGCCTTGCCCATACAAATTATACATCACAGTGATATTAGTCAAATGTTCGAATTTAAAATTTCGAATAAAAATAAATTATTTAAATATATACATTTCATTCAATTGTTTATATTCGAATCATTATTTTATTTTCATAAATTTATATCTCAATATTTGATTTTTGTTCAAAAATTTATATCCGAACACTATTATGGTGTATAATGAAAGTTTTACAGTGTGCAAATAGAATCATCTTAATTTTTTATTCGGATAATTACTTAAAAGGCTAAATTACACTCTGCTCCTTTATATTTAATTATTTTTCTACTTTGATCTTTGAATTTTTTCCCCCCTTCTTTGGCCCTTTATATTTTAAAATTTTCCCAATTTTTTTTTTAAAAATTAATTTTTATTCAAATTGAGACAAATTTTTTTTTTTTCACAGTGTGCAAATAGAATCATCTTAATTTTTTATTCGGATAATTACTTAAAAGGCTAAATTACACTCTGCTCCTTTATATTTAATTATTTTTCTACTTTGATCTTTGAATTTTTTCCCCCCTTCTTTGGCCCTTTATATTTTAAAATTTTCCCATTTTTTTTTTAAAAATTAATTTTTATTCAAATTGAGACAAATTTTTTTTTTTCCAATTTATCAGCTGCATTATGGCATAAAAAATAAGGCTGTGTTTGGTGAAGCTCTCAAACCATAATTCCACCCCTCCAATTGCACCCTCCGTTTGGATAGAGTTTTGAAAATGTGATTCCACCACACATTTCAAAACATATTTCTCTTTCACGTTTGACATATCTTTCTCTTTTGTCTTCTTCATTCTACAAAGTGGGGGAGTTTTTGAATTTTGTGTCTACTCGGTCATCCTCCCGGATGTCCCTCCAGACGTTTAGCTAGTTGACCAATACAGTGTATTTATTTATTTATTTATTTTGCAATTGCAAGTCGCCACCTGTTATTTGAAAAAAATAATTATATTTGTTTTTGATATTTTTTTAAATATAGAATTTATTTTTTTTACACCAAAATGATAAATTATTTTTTGAATTGAATGTTAAAAAGAGTTTGGTTATGAGTTTTGAATAAAATTTGCAATAGAGTTTTGAATTGTATGTTTGGTTATGAGTTATAACTTTTTAAATTAAGTTTTGAAAATTCTTTTCAAAACTCATAACCAAACAAATTTTTTCAATTTATATGTCACATTAAAAATTCAAACTCAATTCAAAAATCTTTTCAAAACTCATAACCAAACAAATTTTCTCTTTTCAAATCATAATTCCAAAACTCACAAACTCAAAATACAATTCTATTATCAAATTATAACTCTAAAACTTTACCAAACGCAACCTAAATTTTTATATTAGGATTTTGGTTTGTGTCAGATGAATGAGTAATATATAATTAAATATTTTTGTGTCACGTGCCTATCAATTTGTCATTTTTTGCCTAATTTTGGACATAAGTAAGTTTTTAGAGTAAATTAAAAAATACTTAAAACATGAAAGGGCCAAAGTGGTCAAATAGATAAACATAAAGGGGTAAAGTATAATTTACCTTTACTTAAAACGATAAATTACATTGATCTCCCTCCAATTGGAAGAAAATACAATAAATTTTATAATTTTAATATAATTACAATTACCTCTATTGGAGTATGGTTATTGGAACTGAAACTAATGCATATTGTGTGAAAAACATAATGACAAATAATAAAAAAATATATATGTATACACTTTAGTGTAAAAGATATTACAATATCGTTTTTATATTCATATGACTAACAAATTATTGATTAAAATATGAAAAACTGTTATGTGAATTGATTTTAAGAGAACTTAATGTAAGTATGTCAAAATTATAAAATTTATCGTATTTTCTTCAAACTTCATTAGATGTGAGTATAATTTATCCTTATTTAAAATATGAAAATTAAGGAAAATATTTACAAATCAGTTGAATTTTTATTGGTAATTGAAAATATTAGCAATCACCCCATAGTATGCAGGAATTGAAGTGAATAAATTTTACATATATATAATTTTACTAGAAATATATATATATATATACATATATATATATATATATAATATGTTTAGATTTTAAATTATTTATATTTTATACTAAATTATTGAGAATAAGTGCTACTTGTAATAAACAAATTAAATTGCAATAAACAATACTAAAATTTCAATATGAACATTTTAATATAGCGCTATTATGATAAAATCTTGCTAAGGAACTATATAACCTTATTCAATGCACAAATCTGTATATTATGATAAAATCTTGCTAAGGAACTATATAACCTTATTCAATGCACAAATCTGTATATTATGATAAAATCTTGCTAAGGGACTATATAACCTTATTCAATGCACAAATCTGTATATTAGTGAATAGTTTATTAGATGAATTTCACAATACATAGACCGACATTACTTAAAATTAATTGTTATTCTAGGTAGGCAACTCAAGAGGGGTGAATTAGATTATTAAAAATTATGTTTGCAATATTAAAAAAAATAATAAACACCATATTCAAATTTTAACAAATAAAAAACAGAACAATAATTATCAATATAAAAGTAAGAGAGATAGGGAGAGAAAATCAAATACTGAGATTTATAGTGGTTCGGCATGCCGGGCCTATGTCCACTTCCCAAAGAACCTACTTGAGAATTTCTTCACTATCAAAATGAATCAATACACTACGAAGGCTTCACTAAACTTGTGGATTTTACACAGGTCTTACTTTTATTTATTAAGCCTCACTCAATAATAAATGTCTCACCTTTACAAATTTTTCTCACAAAATAATCAATAAAAATAAGAGATACTTCAACTCTCTTTTACAACAATTCTCTCACAAAGACAACACTTAGATCTGAAAGTGAAAGAGCAGAATGAAAAATATAATCACAATTTTGGAGTACACATAATTTTTTTCTTTTCAAGTTTTTAATTTTTCTCCATACAAAATACTTCTATTTATACATAAAAATATACCCACTGGGAGAGACAGACGCACCTTGAGGCGTCAGATAAATCCACGCGGAAGAAAATTACGCGGAAGGAAAATCTGTAATCTTGCAAATTTGAACACTTTTAAGCTTTAGTCAAATTTGTACTAAAAAGAAAAAAAGAAAGCTAATGGAAATGATATGTCATGTATGTCTTTGCACATACCATTATGCATACATGTAACATAATATAATCAATGTAATGTAAAAAGTCAAAATGCTCACGTGATATCTGTATTCTATTTATATTATTTGCATTATATATAATATTCTAATAAAATATTTGTATACACAGTAAAATCTCTTCAAATATTATTTATAATAAATCTGAAAATATATACCATTTTTAATTAATTAATTTATTTTTTTTATATGTTGTAGAGATTTTAAAATAAGCATAACCTACCACCTCATGTGGGTATATCAATTTTATCAAAAGATGGCAACCCATCAATATCAAATTTGTCAAAATAATACAACCAATCAATATCAAATTTGTCAAAAGATGAATAGTGGTCAGCCTAATTTTTCAAAAAGCGAATAGTAAAATTTTCAAAATATATTCAGTTATAACAAATATATCATACAACATATATTTTAAACAGATAATATTTTGTATCAAATAATATAAAATATGTATATTAAAAAAATCATAATTTATCATATAATATTTTAGACATTATCAAAATTAAATTATATGATTAACAATCTTCTTCTTTTTGATAATGGCAATACAAGCATGAATT